AAACAAGTACAGACCAATCAACGCCACATTAATCTGCTGAAAATTATCGAGAAAATTATTAGGCCAGAAATAGTGTAGGATCTAGACCAGCATAATCTGCTTTTCGACGCCCTGCACGGATGGTCAAGCGTGAAAATGCGGGAGGCCAAACGCGTTACACGAAGAGGGCAACTGCCCTACGAAACAAAGCTATCCAACCTCTGAGTTAGAGACAGTTAAAAGGCCGCCTGATACAAATAGTCCACATGATGCGCGGTCAGAACTGCTGTCACTTTCTAGCTGACTTCTTCGAGTCGGCAACCGCAACGAACCTCCGAGGTCAGCGACTCCAACTGCGTGTGACTAGCACCAGTCTGGACACTCGGAGTTTCTTCTTCTCCAACGGAGTGATTAAGGAGTGAAATGTTTTGTCTGCAGCTATCATCATGTCCACATGCGTCGAGGTTTTAAAGCGCAAATTGGATCAGCATTCCTCAACACATCATTTCACCCGACCGATATCGTCTCAACGTTCCTTCCTAACGGTTTATTTCTGTCATAATGTCACTGCCTATATTTCAGCAAAATTTGTTTTGTTTTCTTTATTTTTTTGCGAGTCTTGGTATTCGCTTTGTTAACTTCAGATAACTAGGATCAAACAAATCGTTTACGGCAGGTTTATTCATAGACTGACTGCAGTACGGTGCGTTTAGCAATTTTAAAGTTTTCTGCATTTGAAATAATTCATTTATCTTCCATTTTCGATTAATTTCTTTAGCATTTTTATGTTTCCTTTGTCAGACTTTAAATGCACTTTCCTTCATTATAACAATAAGAGAGTTCAAAGGTGCAACGCCTACGTTTCTTTCAAATAATAGGGAATGAATCACTACTTCTACTTCCATCACCAGCTTCACGGCGAAACCCATCACCACTATCAAGATACACTCGATTTCAACCTCCCCATGCTCTCCCATGCAACTTCAGTGCGGATACTGCGATACTCGTATGAAAATCATCAAGGGACCGTAAATGTATTGCGAAAAAGAAAGAATGCGTACGTTCACTTATGTTAAGGACATTTTGCGGTTAACGAGTCTTTCCGCGTAGAGCCACTCAAATAACACACTGGACAGGAAATCCGGCCAGTAGCGCACTCCGCAAAACGGACAACAGATTTATTTTGGTCTCCTCTGGCAACCAGAGGCTGTAGTAGAATTCATCGTAGTGCATAATGTGCTGTGGAAATGCAAGTCCAGAGTTAAGATGTAGACAGGGTCTGAGTTCAAAACGACGAACGAGCACGGTGGTTTGCACCGGGATGTTGTGGAAGCTAAAAATCTGCGTGCTCACTTCCCTGAGTCCTGTAATCTGAAAGCAACTCATATATTCGACAAAACGAATGCACGCACCTGGCACCTGAGGCTTACGTTTGCGAAGTCCACATGCAATTCACAAAGATGCTGTGAAAAGAACCCTCGCAGTTTTGTCCTAACCAGGTCGCAGGTACTTTTGTTACTGAACTGAACATTTTCAAGTCGATTTTGGCAACAACGTCCATCGGTTGTTTTCATCTTGATCTTATTGGTTGAGGAGGAAGACATGTATGATTTCACAATCGTTGATAGATCGCATGCCGCTTGAAAGGGCTGCGAACCTGCCAATTTAGGGTCGGCAAAGAAGTGTACATCAGCCAGTGATGTCCGGAATCATACGGGTCCCTGCTTAGTAGTTCCCTTACCAGTAAACATTCAAACTGTTAAAATATTAAACGGAATTTATGCTTATTTGCTGACGGCCTCATTTGCCTTTATGGCATTCTTGTGAATATACGTAAACAGACACGCCTAGTCCTGCGGACTGACGGTCCAGTTGGTTGATTTGATGGGGCAGTGGGTGGCTACCGATCATAAATCCGTTAACATGGTTAAGGCACGTATCTGCCAAATGCGTAATGCATATCACACAGTTGGGAGAGTATGATAGTAAATTCTGAGGCTTTAAATTAACACAGAACTTACGTTCATATCTACTGCAACCAGATACCAAACATGCGCACAAACATAGAGCGGAGAAGAAGGTAGGCAACATTTTCAACTGCACTGCTGAGGACTGCTTCTTACAAATATATACACGTGTACAACGCTCCAAAAAGTCTGCTGACCTGATGAAGTCGGTTATTATGAGGTTAAGATTGACTGAATTATTTATCAGCACTGGACTAAAATCAGTTAGGTCAGAGATCGCAAGTGCCTCGCTCAGTGTCGATGGGACTTGCTAAGTTGTCGGTCACTCAGTGACTTAATGAAGCCAAGGCATCAGACAGTCTGGTTCACAAAAATATTTGCCCTATCGAGTTTTCCAAATTGTAGAAGGGGCTATCACACTCCATAACCGACATCTTCGAGAGGGTATAATAGAAACCTGTCAATTCTCAGGAGGCACCCCACGAAAACGTCTCATCACTAGATTATCAGTCTCATGATAGATTAAGGTATATAGGCAGAATAGCATTACCGACAAAGACAAGGGAGACTGGAATGGCCATTTCTGGCTTATTAGCCGTCGTCAGCCAGCCATACCCAAGCCCGAAGTGTGGAACACCCGAGCCTCGAACTCGCGACCTGTTGGTTTAGAAGTCCACGCCTCTACCCACCGGGCCACGAGCCCCTTGCCCGAGCCCGTTGCCCTGCCGTATGAACGATTGGTGAGCGCCCCCTACCATTAGATTGAGGTATTCATGGCGACACAGATGTGCGGATTAATATTTGCAAGAAGTACATTTGAAAAGTTTAAAATTAAAATGCATAAAGCCCGTCCTTCAAAATTATTGCATTTGGAATTTGATTTCATCTGCTGTCGAGTAATAATACGAATTCGCCTGAACATCAGGCGGATACGTGAAGCGCAGGGGATATCTTTAAATCGAGGTAGAGCTAAGGACGTGCAACAGCAGCAGCAGAAACAGCGAAGTGTTGGAAAGGAGAGCGCATGCCATTTAAAACATAACATTGACAAAATCCATGAGGAAGGAGACACAATCTCTAGGACAAGAGCTTTATTCACCTGACGTTTCGGTTTATCTCTCAAACCCATCACCATATACAGGTAGGTCATGCACAATCGTCATGCTACCGCATTCCTATGAAAACTTACCGCTTTCACTCCCATCGAGAATAGTTGCACTTAATATGATGACTGTTCGATGGTCGACATTGGCGTCGCGATGTGCTGTTTTCATCACGGCTGTTGGATGTTGGTGTGATGATGGCTCGACCACCATCTGACCCACCGACCCTGGCGTTGAAAACAATGGAAAACTATGTTCACCTGTGCGCTCCTCAAGTAGCTGATTACGCCGCCAAGGCGAAGCCTCAGCACCGAGTATGGTGGGGGGGGGGGGAATGTCGTCGTCTCTCGCAAGTCACCGATCTTTGCTTTTAGCGTTTAGCAATGCAAACAGTGGAGATCGTCGTAGTCAACGGTTGAACTGCCATTAAGCCACTGAATGCGAAAGTATTTCGTAGCATAGTCGAAATTCGAGGTCCAATTTCCAGATAAAGCAATGCAAAAACAGCAGCAGCAGCAGCAGGAGCAGAAACAGTGAAGCCGAATTATCATAGTGTAAGACCCATTAAAGTAACAAGGACTTTCAGCTGCAGGATTCAAGTCTAGCTGAGACGTCAGCCCAGACAACTCATAGAAAAATAGTTGAAGGAAACGATTGCTAATTAGCGCATCCACCTCCCAGATGGCATCAGCGTCTGTCTGCGTGAAAGCACGCTGACACGACAGCCTCAAATTGACTGGCGTTTGCTGCTGCTGCTGTCAGGTTAGACCTGTCGACCCAGCAGACTTTCCTGCACAGAAGTCTATTGCCTTAAGCCGTCTGAAAACACGGACGAATGCACAGGCGTCTAGAGAGTCATCAAGTCAACTCAAACACGCCCATAGCGTTGCGCGTGTAAGTGACTCTTTGTTTCATATTAAATAAATATAGAGAAGACTTAAGTCCTACTTTTGCTACAATGAAAGGGGACACAATGCTAACTGCTGGAGGGACTAATTGGAAAGGTATTGAAGTTTTCGATCACACACTGCGCTTTGTATTAAATACATATAGACTTCACAGGTACAACTTATCCTACAGTAAAACAGGACTTGATGTAAGCTGAGGTGGTTACTAGCCTTGCCTTGCCTTCGACTTCGTCGATTGGACTTTATCAGCGAACCGCCGATTGGTTGAAAAGGTATCAGACCTTCTGAATCCAACGAATTCATGGGCAAACCCACTGTCTTGGAGCTCTCAAAAATGTATCACAGGGAGTATAATAAGTCGTATTCTAAATCTGCTCACCATATGAAAAGTATTTTTTGGTGGAATTTCGAAAGTTAGAGATTTATTGAAACTAACATTACGCGTTTCTTTAAAATTGGTGAAATATGAGTCGAAACAAGTTGACCTGACTTGCTCCTGCAACATTAAGTGTGACATAACGACTTTATTGCCTGTATGTGGAGAACATGATTCTCAAAAAGTAGTACACCGCAGAAAAGCCGCATGTTTAGGGATCGATTTGCAGTAAGAATCACTGTTTACCCAAAACGGTTCAAAGGGCTTTCCAACAGTTCTTTTTACTACCGTAATCCGTCATACGGCCACGTACACACTGAAGGATTAATTCTGCAGTGACAAGTCCAATAAGATTTTCTCGAAGTTCGCATTGTGATTTATGAGAAAGAAAGACAGTTTGACGAGGTAACAAGGTACATATAAGGGAAGAAAACATGTGTAATGATGGTGGACCAACTGGTGGGCCGTAGACCTCTTGAACCTGTCTTGAAACTGGGTCCATGTAAGGGATCGCGTCCGATTCGGGTGCTTCCCAGCTAGAGAGCTGCTGCACGACCCTGATGGTCTCCTGGAGAGATGGCGGGAGGTCGAGGTCCACGTTGGTCTCCACTTGCGGCAAGCGTGCGGTGGCGGCGTGGGATTTGGCGGAGGGGCGGTTGAGGACGCCTCAGAAATGCTCGGCCCATCGCTGTAAGGTTTGCGTCTTCTCAGTCAGGAGAGTGTTGCCGTCGGCGCTGAGGAGAGGAGCGGTGGCCTTCGTCGGCGGACCGTAGACAGCTTTGATCGCAGAGAAGAAGTTCATCCATTCGTTGCGGTCCGTGTAACCTTGGATCTCCTCAGCTTTGCGGGCAGTCCAGGCGTCTTGCATCTCGCGTAGTCGTTGCTGAAGTTGGCGGCGACTGCGGTAGAAGGCAGCTTTGGTGGCATCAGTGGGGTGATCTACGTAGGCTTTGTGTAGGCGGTTCTTCTCAGCAAGCAGATTTCTGATGGCGGCGTCGTTGTCATCGAACCAGTCCTGGTGTTGGCGGGGAGCGTGACCGAGGACGGCGAGCGCCGTCGCCTGGACCGTGTCTCGCAGTTGGCACCAGCGGTTCTCCACGGAGGCGTTCTCGCCAGCGGCGTCATCGGCGATTGGAAGGTTGTCTGGCCGTTGAGCGAGCCCATTGCTGAAATGGAGATGGTGAGCGGGAAAAGACAACAAGGCAACATTCAGCTTACCTGGGGGTCGCGTACCTTGTGGTCTTCTGCGAGGCTGTAGGCGAATAAACATCTTCGAGATGACGAGGCGATGGTCAGTCCACACGTCAGCACCCGCGATCGCCTTCGTCACCAGCACATCCCGCTGGTCTCGCCTCCGGACGAGGACACAGTCCATCAGATGTCACTGACGCGACCGAGGAAGCCGCGGGGTGGCCTGTTCTCGCTCCGGCAGACAGAAGAACGTGTTCCTCAGGATGAGGCGGTGTTCTGCGCAGGTGCGGAGCAGCAGCAGGCCGTTGTCGTTATGGCCGCGGAGACCGTGGGGACCCAGCACTCCACTCCAGGCAGTTTGGTCTGTGCCGACGCGGGCGTTGAAGTCACCGAGGACAATCAACTTGTCCGCCTTCGACACAGTTGCCAAGAGTGCACGCAAGTCCTCGTAGAATTTGTCTCTTGCGGCGGCGTCGGGGCTGCTCATCGGCAAAGCGTAGGCGCTGATGATAGTGGCGAATTTGCCCCCACGACGGAGAGGCAGACGGAGGCTCATCAGGCGATCGTTGATGCCCTGCGGCAGACTGGGCAGTCGTTCCACGATATCTTTCCGGATGGCGAAGGCGACACCCGCGTCTCATCGCGCTGCTCTGGGCCGACCACTCCAGTAGAAGGTGTAACCGGCACCCACCTCTTCCAGTTGGCCTTATTCGGAGAATCGGGTCTCGCTGAGTGCGGCGATGTCCACCTTGTAGCGCGCCAGTTCCCGGGCCACTAGCGCCGTCCTCCGTTCCGGTCGGTTGCTCCTCGGATTGTCTAAAAGGGAACGAACATTCGAGGCTACCAGACTGGGCGAACTCACCCTGCCAGTCTGGTGACAACGAGTGGGGCGACGGGAAGGAGATGGAGAAGATGGTGACGAAGGAGAAGAATAGGCAGAGGAAGAGGAAGAAGATTTAGGATGAGGAGAATGATAATGGTTGTTGTTATTGGTATTGTTGTTGTTTCAATTTTGATTGTTTCAACTATGTTTAGACGTCTGCGGCCCTGGCTAAACTGTAGACGGCGTGGTGGCCAGCAATGTTTTGGCAACCTTTTCTAGGCCCTTCCCCTCGTGTGGGCTGGCAGTGCAACCCCTGAATAGGGCTGCCATGTGCCGTTGTGGCACGGCCGAACTCCATTATGGGGCCACGACTTGTTGTTCGTAGTGGAGAGCGACTCGAATTCGCCACAAGCCGCGGTATCCTACGGCGTACATTAGATGTGCTAACTCATGAAATGCCAACTAAAATTTCGAAATGCGTTCTCTTTTGGAAAAGATAAATTAAGTAGTCTTGCAAGATCCATACCCTGCAAAAAATGACTACTTAAGTAGCATGCAATTGTCCTATTGATTTTCTATGCCCTTTAAATATCAATTATATTTCAAATAAAAACATATATAAAAATATAAATTCTTTTACTTATTCGGTAGAAAATTACGTCTTCTTCCGATTTCATTATCAATAGAAGAGAATAATTCGGTTTTAAAAACTTTTCTAACTCCCGAATATTATTGAACGCGACCTGCTGTTACACTTGCATTCAGGGTTTCAAAACTACAAGCTGTATATTTTCCGCGTACGGAAAACCATGCATTTCTCTACGGTGTTAAGACGAGACCATATGAGGTTCACAAAATTAAGCAGTGAATTTGAGAAATACTGTTAACTTTACAAGCCACATTCGTAAATACAGATGCATGCCGTTTCATGAACGGTCATTTAACGGTATTAAAAATCTCACAATTAGAAACTTTTTTTAAAACTGAATTATTATCTTACTTTGAGTATGAAATTGGAAGAAGACGTGATTTTCTACCAAAAAAGTAAAAGAATGAACATTTTTGTGCATGTTTTCCATGAAATATAATTGAATTTTCAATGGCATCGAAAATCAATGAGAAAATTTCATACTACATTGGTAATAATTTTTTTAGGGTATGGATCTTGCATGCAGCCGAAAATAATTTTTTTCAAAAGCAGACACCCAAAGGTAACTGGATCATTATAGAATTATGCTGCACCTTGAATAGTTTTACAAAACTCTTTATTTATCTTTTCGAAACGTGAACGCATTTCGAAATTTTGGCTGAAATTTCATGAGTCAGCACATCTACTGTAGGTAGGCATGTCAAGGCGATGTCGATGTGGTGATAGTTTCCGTCACCGGCTGTTCAGCGGCGCGCAGAGAGGAATCACGTCACGTCGGTGTTGACGCAAGGTTCCATCCGACCTTCCATTCAATGGAATCCGGAAACCCTGTGCACATGGCAGAGCGCAAAGGGCCCGCTCACCCGGTGTAGCCTGCCGGTCGAGACGGTTGCCCGGGATGTGGCCGCTACGCAGCGCCCAGCTACGTGGAGCCACATGTGAGAGTTGAGGGGGAGTAAGAGGACGCTAGGCGTATTCTCACCTGCAAGCAAGTGAGCGAGCACCACGACGACCACCTGGACCCACAGCTGACACAAATACACGCCACCCCCCCACCCACACACACACACACACACACACACACACGCACACACACACACACAAACACACCCACACACGACAGTTCGACCATCGATTTCAATCATGTCCACCGTGTGCGCCACAGCAGGTGGGAGCAGGGACGGTGACTTGCGCGGGGGTTTATAGTGCCGGTAGACTTGCGCTGCATCTACCTACACCCTTTCCACCTCCCCCGCCTGAGTTCGGTGTCAAGACAGATTCATGAAGACCGGAGACGAGGGATGCCGCAGGTGGATGGCTCGGCCGGATCCTAACCTAGGCGTTCCACCACACCACCTGGTCCACACAACAAATAACCAGTATTTCAATCAACACAAGACAGATTTAGAGGCTGGCACGGCCGAAGCCGCACCTAGGCGTGCCTCCGTCGCCTGTCTCGGATCCCACACTGTGGTGGGAGTTCCATAAAGGCTACATTTAAAAAAAGGCATTGCAGCCTGACTTTCAGACCACCACCAGCGCAGGAGGAGGTCCAAGGTACCCAGTCAGTTGGCAACCTTCCAAGCCACGGCTTTTAGCGCACTGTGATAGCTTCAAGCGCGTCAGATTGATTATAGTGAGGAAAGTGTGCTGAGTCGTCGACTTCACACTTCCTTCCCATTCCCACACCCTGGCCGCCGTCCGAGCCGGTCGGGAAACTGGAGTGGGGAATGGGCGCGGTGGCTGGCACGGTCGGCTGACCATGCCTGCGCGCGCCACAGCCCGACCTGGCCCCCCATACACACACAAACACCAGGATTTCACACAGCGTGGGTTGAACAGCGTGTCTCTTACTTGTGTGAGAGGGCCGTGGAAGGTGCTGTTTCAGCCGTCCCCAGCCCACCAGTCCGCCACTTCACACAACAGACAGACACATACACACACACAACGTGACAAACTGCGTGAACCGAGAGCGGGCGTCAATCAGCAACCTTCCTATCCACGACAATTGACGTGTCGGGATAGTCTCAGACTCAAATCACCCGTGCAGCAGAAGCCGCATGGGGACCGAGTTCAGATGCACACTTGCCACTTGCGTGGAAGGTGGCAGTTGGTGCATGCGGTGGGTGAGTGTTGACGCGTGGCGGTGATGGTGGAGGGGAGTAGAGAGTGTATGGATGTGTGGTGTAACCGCCGGTTGTCTACCTCAGGTCATCGTGGATGCGCATGTGGCCGAATAGACCCATGTGATGCCTGAAGGTGCGAGGGCAGTGTGGGCAGTGGAGGCGAGGGCGGTGGGTGTAGGTTGGTGCTCCAGGCACTGGTTCGCCAGTCTCTGTGCGATGGATTCGCAAGTGACCGACCAGGCCCATGCGTGAGGTGAAGGTGCGATCGCAGTGAGAGCAGGTGCAGTCCTGGTCCTCATGTCTGGAATCGAAGGCTGAAGGAATGATTCATGGTGTTGTGTCAGGTATGTGTGCGATGTTGTCTTGCGCGAAAGACGCCTTAGCGGCCGCCTTGGGGCAGTGGAGGAGGAGGAGGATGAAGGTGGTGGTGGTACTGAAGAAGTGTCAATTTAGTTGGCGGTAGAGAGGACGATGATGAGGCGGGCGTGGGGACGATGGTTGATGATATTCGAGAGGCGCAGTCGATCTGAAGATTTCCAACAAGTCCGATTCGAGCTCAGAATGTCCGTTGACATCGAGGACACGTTGGAAGCGGTTGTTCGACGGCGTTGCGTACTAGTCGAAGTTGGGATTTGCAGGCTTCGCGTTTCGCCTTGGCGGCGGCGATGCCGTTGGCTTCGTGGATAGCATCGCCCGTCTTCACTGTTTTCCTCCATGTCGGACGATCGCGAGCGAGTTGGTCGGGTTGATTTGCAGGCACTTCAGGGAGAACTTTAGAGTATCCTTGTAACGGCGAATTTGGCCTCCTTGACGACGAGAACCCGTCGCGACGTCTACGTAGAAGAGTCGTTTGGGTAGTCGCTCGTCGTCTATGCGCACCACGTGGCCGCTCCAGCGCAGCTGCATTTGTCTCAGCATGGCGTAGATGCTGACGATTCCCGTCCGTCCCAGCACATCGGTGTCGGGGATGCGGTCCTGCCAGTTCAGCCTCAGGATGCGACGAAGACAGCTGAAGTGGAAGTGGTTCAGACGGCGTGCGTGCCTCGTGTACACCGTCCAAGTCTCCGCTCCGTACTGCAGCCTCGGTAGTATGACGGCCTTGTACATCTTTAGCTTTGCGCTCAGTTGGTGACCGTGACGTTTCCAGACTGTGCTTTGCAGACGACCGATGGCTGGTCTGGCTTTGAGATCCTGTTGGCGACTTCGTCATCGATCGTGGTGTTGCAGGAGAGAGTACTTCCAAGGTACGGGAAGTTCTCCACCACTTGCAGCTGGACTCCGTTCACGTTGATTTGCGGCGCATTGCGGGCTGTGGCTAAGTTGGATGGCGTTTGGTGCATTACCACCGTCTTTTGCATGTTTATGACCAGACCGAAGTTCCCGCAGGCGGCGGAGAATAGGTCCATGCTTCGTTGCATCTCCTCTTCCGAGGTGGTGTTCAGGGCGCAGTCGTCGGCGAAGAGGAGTTCGTGCTCGATCGTTGTGGATACACGCGACCGGAAGTGCATCCGCCGTCGATTCAGGAGATGACCGTCCGTCCTGTAGGCGATGCGGATCCCGGGGCGTTCGTCGCGATATGCGTCCATCAGCATGGCAGACAACATAAGACTGAAGAAGGTAGGCGCCAGTACGCAGCCCTGCTTCACTCCATTGGTCACTGCGAATGCCTCTGAGACAGCTCCGTTGTCCGTGACTCGCGCCATCATACCGTCGTGCAGCTGACGCACCATCTGAGTGAATCGCTCCGGACAGCCGAATTTCTGCATGATCTTCCACGGTCCTTCACGATTCACCGTGTCGAAGGCTTTCGTCAGGTCCACCAAGGTTGAGTTCAGGTGGATCCGCATCTACTGGCACTTCTCCTGTAGTTGGCGGGCGGCGAAGATCATGTCCGTAATCCCACGATGACGATGGAAGCCGCACTGGCTTTCCGGCAGAAGGCCCTTTTCCAGGTGGTTATTGAGGCGGTTGAGAAAGATGCGAACGAAGATCTTCCCGGCGATGTTCAGCAGGGAGATACCACGGTGATTGTCGCAGACTTGGCGATTCCCTTTCCGCTTGTATAGGTGCACGATTGTTGCGTCTTTGAAATCTTGCGGGACTTCGCCTTGACGCCACATCTCCTGGAAGAGCGCAGTCAGGTGATCCATCAGTAGGGGACCTCCGTGCTTGTAGACCTCAGCAGGGATTGCGTCCGATCCGGGTGCTTTCCAGCTAGAGAGCTGATGCACGACCCTGATGGTTTCCTGGAGATATGGCTGGAGGTCGAGGTCCACGTTGATCTCCACTTGCGGCAAACGTGAGATGGCGGCGTCGGAGATGGCGGAGGGGCGGTTGAGGACGCCTCAGATATGCTCGGCCCATAGCTGTAGAATTTGCGTCTTCTCAGTCAGGAGAGTGTGGCCGTCGGCGCTGAGGAGATGAGCAGTGCCCTTTGTTGGCGGACCGTAGACAGCTTTGATAGCGGAGAAGGAGTTCTTCCGTTCGTTGCGGTCCGCGCAGCCTTGAATCTCCTCAGCTTTGCGGGCAGTCCAGGCGTCCTGCATCTCGAGCAGTACTTGTTGAAGCTGGCGGCGATTGCGGTAGAAAGCAGCTTTGTTGTCGTCAGTGGGTTGCTCTACGTAGGCTTTGTGCAGGCGGTTCTTCTCAGCAAGAAGATTTCTGATGGCGGCGTCGTTGTCTTCGAACCAGTCCTGGTGTTGGAGGGGAGCGCGACCGAGGACGGCGAGCGCCGTCATCTGGACCGTGTCTCGTAGTTAACACCAGCGTTTCTCCACGGAGGCGTTCTAGGCGGCGGTGCCGGCGTCGGCAGCGATTAGAAGGTCATGGATAAAGGACATCCAGTAGATGATATTTACTTCGACTTTAGAAAGGCTTTCGATTGCGTCCCACACAAGCGCCTCGATCAAAAGTTGTCAGGAGTAGGGATAAGAGGGAATTTTTTGAACTTTATTCAGGATCTCCTAAGCGGCCGACAAAAAAGTCACTGTGGGTGGCTTCTGCTCAGAATGGGCACCTGCTACACGTAAAGTCCCACAGAAGTCAATTCTTGGGCCGCCCCTATTCATTATCTATGCAAATGACCTAGTACGGCAAGTGAAATCGGACATAGCGCTTATTGCAGACGATCTTAAACTTTGGAGAGCGATAAAAGATGAAAATGAAGTCAAGATACTACAAGAGGTCGTACAGCATTCGCACGCATGGAGCAAGAAATGGTGCATAAAAATTAAACGTCAAAAATGTGCTGTAGCGTACGTAGTATCAACGAGGAAAAGAACAACTGCACCCTCACGACAGTATCTCCTGGACAACAAACCACTTAAAACCATAGATTTGCAAAAATATCTCGGTGTATTCATTGAAGGCAATCCAAGCGTCACCACGCAGTATTCAAAAGTCGCTGAGCGGGCAATGTCCGTTATGAGCGCGATACGCAGAACGTTTATACACTTTAAAAAAGATGTCTTTGACGAAGTATACGGGACATTTGTGCGGCCGCACCTGAAATATGCGGTACAGGCTTGGCGGCCGTGGCTTCGGAATGATAAAGATATCGTTGAAGGTGTACAACGGCGTGCTACAAAGGCTGTTCCTGGCCTCAAATATGTTACATACGAGCAGTACCCGACGGCCGTGAACCTCAATCCCCTCCACTACAGGCAGGACAGATGTGAACTCATTGCAACGTTGCTAAGAGGACCTAATCTGGATGTCGACTAGGAAACTTTTCTTGAAATGTCAACCAAGCCTAATCTCAGACGACATGATTACCAACTTAAAAGGGAACTCCGCCACACCAATCCACGTTCCTCCTTTTTTTACAGAGGGTCATTCGCCAATGGAACTCTTTGCCGGAGTATGTTGTTAAGCCCCCTAACGTAAGTGTGTTCAGGGGACAACTGGATACCCACCTGCTAAAAGGCAACCCGTACTGCCGAAGCCTGATCTAACGGATTACTAAAATGATTATAACTCTACTACTAACATGATTTCAACTGGTCCCTTTCATGCGTCAAACTTAACTCGTTTGGAAAATTTCATATTCAGAATGCGGTGAACAAAGTGTTTTGCAATTATTTCGCGAATATCATGCCTTTTCGCATTAATGTTCCATTATTAGATTAATGAATTCTTCTTACTTAAGCTGCAAACAAAATTTTTGCAATTTAACTATTTTCCCTTACATCTGTAACGTCTAAATGGAGGTTTCAGGGCCTCTGTCGTTTACTCCCAATATACTGACTGATACCTCAACACACCATGTCACCCGACCGATATTGTCTTAACTTTCCTTTCCAACAGTTTATTACTGTCATAGTGTTACTGGCTGTATTTCAGTAACATTTGTTTTCATCTACTCATTTGCTTGCAAATGTTAGAATTCGCTTTGTTTTCCTCATCGAACTGGGGTCGAACAAATTGTCTACAGAAGATTTATTCACGGACTGACTCCACTACAGTGCGTTTAGCATTTTTAAAGTTGTTAACACTTACAATAATTTACTTATCTGCCCGGTTTCGATTAATTTCTGTAGCTGTTTTATGTTTCCTTTCTCAAACTTTAGATGCGCTTTCCTTAATTGCAGCAACTACAGCAACAGCAACTAATCCTACTACGATCGCTATTGCTACTACTACTACTACTACTACTACTACTACTACTAATACTACTGCTACTGCTGCCATCACCACCGTCACCACCAAACTTACAACCACTATCAAGGTACACTCAACTTCAACGTCTTCATGTCCTTCCATGCAAATTCTGCGCGCATACTGCGAAAATGATAAGAAAATCATTAAGGGACCATAAATGTATTGTAAAAAATGACAGAATGCGCGTGTTCACTTATGCGAGGGGAATTTCGTGGTTAACGAGTCCTTCAGCGTTGAGTATCTCAAATAACACACTGGACAGGAAAACCGGACAGTAGCGCACTCCCCAAAACGGACAACAGATTTATTTTGATCTCCTCTGGCAACCAGAGGCTGTAGTAGAATTCATCGTAGTACATTATGTGCTGCGGAAATGCAAGTCCAGAGTAAACATATGGACAGCGCCTGGCTTCAAAACGAGGAACGAGCACAATAATTTGCACCAGGATGTTGTGGAAGCTAAAAATCTGCATGCTTACTTCCCTGAGTCCTGTAATCTGAAAGAAACTCATATATTCGACAAAACGGATGCACGCACCTGGCAGAGGAGGCTTGCGTTTGCGAAGTCAATATGCAGTTTACAAAGATGTTGTGAAAAGGGTTTTGGCAGTTGTGTTCTAACCGGATCGCAGGTACTTTCGTTTCTGAAATGAAGACCCTCAAGGCGACTTTGGCAACGTGGTTCATTGGCTGTTTTAATCCTGACGTTATTTGTTGAGGATGAAGACATGCTTGACTTCACAATCGTTGATAGTTCGCCTGCCGCTGGGAGTGGGCGCGAACCTGCCAATTTGGAGTCGGTGCATAAGTAGATCAGTCAGTCAAGTCTGGATTCCCACAGGTCCTAGCTTAGTATTTTCCTTATGCGTAAATCATTTAAAACGGTTTCACTACCTAACGAAACCTCGAGTTTTGGAAATTATGTCCATTTGCCAACGACATCATTTGCCTCTATGACATCCTCATGGAAATACATAAACAGACTCGGCTAGCCCTGCGAGCCGACGGTTTAGTTGGTTAATTTGATGGTGCAGTGGGTGGCTGCCCGATCATAAATCAATTTAAATGGTTTAGTCATGTATCTGCCAAATGCGTAATGAATATCGCACAGATGAGAGAGCATGATAATGAAGTCTGAGGTTTTAAATTAACGCAGAACTTACGTTTATATCTACTGCAACCAGATGCCAAGCATGCGTACAAATAAAGTGCGGAGAAGAAGGTAGGTAGCATTTTCAATTGGATTGCTGAGGACGGCTTTTCACAAATATATATGCGAAAAACTCTCCAGCAAATCTGCTGACCTGATGCAGTCGGTTATTTTGAGTCTGAGACTGTCAGACTAATGTTATCTATGCTGGACTTACATCGGTTAGGTCAGAGATCGCAAGCACCTTGCTCAGAGTTGATAGGATTTATTAAATCATCGGTCACTGAGTAACTGAATGAAATGCAGGCCTTAGACAGTCTGGTTCACAAGACTATTCGCTTGGTTGACTTTTCCAAATTCTATCAGGGGTTATCACGCACCATAGCCGACATCTTCGAGAGCTTGTAAGAGTAATCCATGAATTCTCATGATGTACTAAATGAAGACGTCTCATCGTTATAATCTCACTCCCATAATTGATTGAGGTATGCATGGCAACACAGAAGTGGGGATTCATATTTGTAAAAATTACATTTCAAAAGCGTTTACATTAAAATGCATAAAGTCCGCCCTTCAAAATTGTTGCATTCGGAATCCAGCTATAATCCGCTGTCGATTTATAACACGACTTGACAGAGTCTGGCTTCAAAACGACGAACGAGCACGGTGATTGGCATCGGGATTTTGTGGAAATTGAAGACGTGCACCCACTTTATCATCCTCACTTCGGAGAAAATTACTAAGGTCATGTCCAAACAACCACTGATTCACAGTGCTTGCAACTTCGTCCTTACTATGGCCCATCAAGTCTCCGATCTTCTTGACTGTATTTTGATACCGTGCTATGGTAGGTGGGGGGGGGGGGAGGGGAGAGAAGTGTGTGGTAGACGCCGCACAAATCCTCTACCACTGTAAACTAAATCTCGCGCGAGTCACCGGTCTTTGCTTTTACCCTATAACGATGCACACAGTGGAGCTCGTCGGAGTCGACGGTCGAACAGCCTTTATGCCACTGAATGCGAGATGAGTTCGAGTGCAAATTTCCAGCGGCAGCAGCAGCAGCCGCAGCAAAACCTATCACCATAAACAGGTAGTTTATGCACAATCGCCATGCTACCGCATTACTATGAAAACTTACGGTCCTCCCTCTCATCGAGGATTGTTGCACTTAATATGATGACTGTTCGATGGCTGACATTCGCGTCGTAAATTGCTGCAATTTCATCACGGCTGTTGGATGTTGATGCGATGATGGCTCGACCACTATCTGACCCACCGATCCGGACGCTGTAAACTATTTTCGCCTGTGCGCTCCCCAAGTAGCTACTTACTCCGCCTAGGCGAAGTCTCAGCACCGAGTATGGCGGAGGGAGGGAGGATGTCGTCTTACGTGTTTATAGAATAGAGTCCAGTGGACTATGACTCCAGCATTGTGGGCAGGGAAGTGGTGTGGTTGGCGCAACGCAAGTCCACTAGCACTATAGACTACTTCACGCGCATTTCACCGTCCCCTATCCTACCCTGCTGTGGAGTACACAATGGACAGAGTTGAAATCGGCGATCGAACTATCATAGTACACGACCCATTAAAGGAACAAGGACTTTAGGCTGCAGGATTCAATTCTATCTGAGACGTGGACCCAGACAACTCATAGAAAAATATCTGAAGGTAATGATGGCTAATTAGTGTATGCACCTCCCAGATGGCATCAGCGTCTGTTTTTGTGAAATCACACTGGCACGACAGGGTCAAAATGAGTGGCGTTTGCTACTGCTACTGCTGTCAGGTCAGACGTTCCGACCCAACAAACTTGCCTACACAAAAGGCTATTGCCTTCAGGCGTCTGAAAACACAGACGCATACACACGCGTCCAGAAAGACGTTTAGGTTCACGCTCCGGCCAAGTTAACCCCAACACGCTCATTGCA